CTCTCTCTCTCTCTCTCTCTCTCTCTCTCTCTCTCTCTCTCTCTCTCTCTCTCTCTCTCTCTCTCTCTCTCTGTCTCTCTCTTTTTTTGCTCGCACCCGATCCCTCTGTCTCTGTTTGTCCCTCTCTCGTGTTCCTTCCCCATCAAAACTCTTTCTCTCTCAATCTATGCCCTCGTCGTCAGATCGGCCACGTGGCTCTGCTTGAGGGATAAACTCTCTCTCTCTCTCTCTCTCTCTCTCTCTCTCTCTCTCTCTCTCTCTCTCTCTCACAGAACTCTGCGTCACTTCAGGAGTGCGGGTTCCGAAAAAACAAAGATACTGACTATTATCGGAACATGTCATAGAATAGTGGCAAACACATATGATAACGCAGATCTGCCGCAGATAATCAAAATGTTCGGGCGAGAACTCAGACTGCTAGATTACCCGCGGAGAATAACCGGCACGGCCATAATAGCGTACATCAGAAATTGCAAAGACACGGAAGTACGAAACAAATTCCAGGAGTTTGTGAAAGAAGAAGAGACACTAAACAAACAATGAAAACCGAAACAAATTCCGAGGAGTGGGAATCCAAGAAACATGAGGATATGATTGCAGGCCACGAATCAGAATCGAAAACAAAAAGAGAAACGCGCACGATAAAAATGTAAGGACAAAATCTGCCGATAAAAGCATACGAAGCGAGTCACAAACCAAGGATAAAGAAAAGGTGAAAAACCTAACGACTGAAGTACTTACCCGGGGAATGTTGAAACCCACGGTCGCGTGATCAACAAAACAACAAACAAAGACCACAAGACAAGTCAGAAACAGAAGATAAAAATGAATACGGCCGAATACAAAAGGCAAGTATGGAATATCCAAAAAGCATGAGCACAAAAGATACTGACCCGCGCGAATGCTGATTACACTAACAATTATATCTGTCTATATCTACATACATATATACTGATATATATTAGAGGATCGACGGCAGGACGGAAAATCGACGGCGATAATGACGAGTCGGAGCGCGACCACCAGGGACTCAGAGGTAGGATGATGAGAGACTGCAAGGATGTGGAAAGTAGGTGGGGAAGACTAGGAACAGAGGGTATAAATTCCGATGATAGTGGCTGAAATGATTACCTGAGCAGAGAGGTAGAAGGGTAATGATGAGATTCTCGTCGCATGCCATCGACATGACGTGTTTTCTGTGAAAGTAAAGCCTCGCACGTTTTGTCTACTATTGCATTTTGTATCTCTCTCTCAATCTGTGCCCTCGTTTCTTCTGTTCACGTGGCATCATTCCGGTGATCCTCTTGCCGTCATCATTGTGCTGTGGAGACCTATGCCGTCAGATCGGCCACGTGGCTCTGCTGATCTCCCTTCACATTGAAGATCTTCATGTGTGTGTTTGTGTGTGTGTGTGTGTGTGTGTGTGTGTGTGTGTGTGTGAGAGAGAGAGAGAGAGAGAGAGAGACAGACACCTGTCGAATTTTTTTTTCCGCAATTCTCCGAAAGTTTCCCGACAGCCTGCGTGGCGAGCCTCTAAAGGGGGGCAAACTGTCCAAAAGAGGCTGTCGAATTTATTCTGACAGTGGTGTAACACGACGGGGGAGAACGAACCAAGAAGAAAACGAATCCCCTCCTTCCTATCGAAAACGACGGGGAAGCACCCAAGCGCCCCCTCTTTGTGTCTTTCTCCTTCCTTTCAGACGGTGGGCGCAGCGAGATAATCTTTCGCCGCCCGCCATCTGCCCTTGCAATCGCGGCCTCTCTCTCGTTGCCCGGCGCGCTGTCAACAAACTCCCCAGCTGCACTTCCCCGTCCTCTATCGCCCTCATGCACCGGCCTTCAGTAAAACTTCAGCCCCATCCTTCCCCTGCTCGCAGTCGCCCACCAAAGCCCACCAAGCCCACCAAGTCCTGCCTGAGGACAATGCCACTGAAGGAGTACGATTAATTTTAAGACCCGATGATAATCAGGATGTAATAAAATCCTCGGAAGGATGTTACCACAAATTAGAATATAATAGAGTCTGATATCACCTCAAGAGAGATTTCGGAACTCTTTGAGTTTTATTTTATTTTATTTTTGACTCTTCGATTTGTAAGATGATCTCTGGCCGTCTTAATTACTTCAAAACTTTTAAAGTCTGTCGTTTTAAATTGAGAAGATTCAGTACCAGAATGGGGAGTTGGTGACAACTACTACAAGCCCAATGCTACAGTGCCGTAACACTTCTACACGTCCGCGACAGCCAATGATGGCAAGACGTCCAGTGCATACCCGGTCTTGCTCTAAGATACCTTTCGCTGAATCTAATGAAGGTCCAACACATCCAAATATTAGAAGTTTCAGGTCTTGGCCCGCACAGTTACTTTCACCTGCCAGCAAGTGAAAGATTTCAACACCTTCCAGCCTGCTGGCTGTGCGCAAGGCAGAACACCTTCCATGTAACAGGTAATAAGCAGATCAGGAGCTAGAATTCTATCCAATACTACAATGCTAGTGGCTATCACTCGCTAATCTGCTTATTGACTGTTACAGATCTCAGCCTTTCCCTCACTCTAGGAGCACCGCGAGATGCTCTTGTGACTCAGCATCATCGTCCTTGCAGATGGCATCTTCTGCCTCTGACATCGCCAGAAGGTACTCCATGTCCATTGTTCTGATCAAGAAGTCCCATCCTACATCGAGAAGCATGTTGTCGAAGCGCTGGACAACAGCTCGCATTGCCGGCCTTGACCCATAATCCTCATGGACACATTCCCAGGCCAGTCTGAAAGTGTTCATCACCATCTGCTTCGTAGAGTCTCCGACCATCTGATCCCACAAACAGCGGTCAAGAATAGCACGTGGCATGTCCAGGCAAGGGTCTTGGGCTGCTTCACTGTCTCCCCGAAGGAAAGGCTTCACCCAGTCCACCAGTGTCTGCCATCCCACCCCAGAGGGCGCCCGTGCGACCACCTTCCTTCCCGTCAGCACCTCCAGTACAAGAACCCCAAAGGAGTACACATCATTCTTCTCCGACAGCTCGCCCCTCAGCATGTACTCCGGCGACATGTACCCAAAGGTACCACCAATGTGGGATGTGACCACAACGTGGTCGTGCCCTGTGTCCAGCACCCTCTCCCCGATGGCCGCCAATCCGAAGTCAGCGACGACTACGTAAAGTTTGTCCCCACAGCCATCGCCAAGCAGGACGTTGCTGCTCTTGATGTCCCGATGAATGATGGGAGGCTTGGCATCATCGTGTAGGTATCGGAGCCCCCTGGCAATCTGGAAGGCAATGCTCATGCGGTCCTGGAGAGTGAGCGGCGGAGGGGAATCCTCTGCGAGTTCCCTCTGGTTAGCAGTGTGAGGGAACAGCCGCTCGTGCAAGCATCCACCTCTGAAGTACGGGTACACCAAGATGCACTGGTTGCCCTCCTGGCAGTAACCAGTGAGCTGGATGAGATTGGCGTGATTAACTGCACTGAGAGTGTTCACCTCCGCCACGAACTGGTTCCGTTTCACGTCCGTCAGCTCACCAGTCATCACCTTGATTGCCACGTCCTTGCCGTCGAGCGATCCCCTGTATACTTTCCCGAACGCCCCTTTGTCCCCGATGCGATAGGCCTCGCTAAAATTATCCGTGCAATCCGACAGCAGTTTCCAACCAAACTGCTTGACGCGCGAGGGCCTCAGTCCCCAGAAATCCATAGCAGTGCAGTCCTGTACAGATGAAGTCGTCGGCCGGCCGTTGTTAACGGCATGGTTATTACTGACCTGATCCAGAGCTCGACGTCGACGCTTTTGAAACCGCAAACGCAAAACGCGGCGCAACTTGATATTGCCATAAATATAAATATAAAAGGAGCAAATACGTATGAGTATGCTAGATAAACCCACAGGGTGGGTACAATAACTAATACGAAAAAGATCACGCCTGCGAGTCCTGACGGAGGCAGATTAACCCAAAAAAAAGACAGTGAACGGAGGATGGACTTGAAGTCGACGCCAAGTCCCATGTACGGTTCGATTCCACAACGGCTCACTTCCGACCCGTTCAGCGTAATGCGATACACGCTGCCATCGCTGGTTCTTACAAAGAGGCTTAAGCCGTCGCTGGGGTCACTAAGTGCCAATGCCGTAACCTCCGCTTCGCCGAAATAACCTGGGAGTGCTGACCTGTTTCTCATCATGCCACATGTCTTTTCCATCCGTCTGAAGACTTCGAAGACGTCAACTGTATTGTTTGCGGCCGTGAACACGTGACAACCTTGAGGCGTTGCAACCACGTCCATCTCTTTCCCCAGGAATGGAACGGAAGGGTATGCAATTGTGTCGTGGAAGAAATGTCCATCCCCAAGCTCCCTCCCGAGCAACCCGTCATTAGAAGTCACGGGGTAAAGGCAACTGCCGTCAGAGACAAGGCTTCCAGATTGGAACTCCTCGTCAGGATACATAGCCGTTCGGATGCCCGAACGGGATACTTGGTTCGGAGGGCCGTTTGGAAGCCCGACATCATTAACRGTGACGTTAATTAATGAGGAATCAGATTGCAAATAGTAAAGAAAACCCTTGTGAGACTCTAACGCCCAAGCCTGGACCAATGTGCTCAAAGGGTCGGAGRACGACCGAGAGCCCTCAGCGAGCGACAAAGATGTGAACCTGGAGCGATTTTGGTCACCAGATGTGGTTCCATTGCCCCGCGGTACTTTTGGATCTCCATTGGTTACGCTCAAGACGAGATCCATCCCATCTTTCGACAGACCCATTCCTGTCACGTGAGCATCTCCAAAATCCGTTAGTTCKCGGATTATTGGCCCGTTTGGCTGCCCGTATGGCCACATGTAACTTATCAAGGAGTCGTCCTCCTGCGGGCTCGGACCGTTGCCGTCCTGCACCTGCGATAAGTTCAGTCTYCTAATCKACAACGCCCGATCCTCGAGAGTACCATCCACTTGGCAGTACTGGTGCAGGATATARTACAMTTCACCCGAACCGACMACCAGGTCCGTAATTACTGAACGGCAATCTTTCCCCGCCGTCCCATTCGTCCGCGGGGTATGCAATGTCACGCGCGTGATGGAACCGTTTACAAACGGCGAATACTCTATCTGCCGCTCTTCCTGCGGTGCTGCTGGAGCGGCACTCGTCGGCTCCTGAAGAAGGCGATCACCCGCGTGMCGGYTGGGATTGGAGGCAAGACTCCGAAGCCCGGTTCTAAGAGCTGATCCCCGGCACGCTGTGAGTACGAGGACCAGATACCAGCCACACACCATAGTGGCTGCTATTGCCATCAAATTGACTGTGACCAATCGCGCCCGGGGAAAGAAATAGACACGACGACGCCTGCAAYGATCACATAAAGCGATATAATTGTCCCTAATAGGACAGGAGAGCTTCATATCCCCAACGCGTACAGYTGCTCACCCACGCTTAGGATTCACGTGAGAAACCCCTCCGCCCCAACCAAACTGTTTGTATACTGCCCAACTAARGTCGCCTTCCCCTACTGGACAACAACTCCCCACTCTTGATGCGCAAGTCACCAGAGTCAGTGCAAACTCACATTAATTGGATTGCCTGGACTGAATCCATTCCTGAATATGGCCAAATGCGGCCAGCACAAACTCAGTGGGAGTGTTTGCCGTCGCTGAGCTAGCACTCTAACGCTGACTGGCCGTGATGTAGATGGAGCTTCCKTTAATCTCTTCCATTCTGCGAGCCGTCGACAGCCACGCGGCGACACGAAGAACGATCACCCGCGGGCATCGAGCGGCTCAATCGAACACCAATTACGATCCAAAAGTTAACTAAATTAAGAAAAGAGCGGGTGAATTCATCCCTCGAACTCATCCGCGCTCAGCCGCTATTCCTATCCTATGCTCCCCCGCGGTCGCTGCCACCATGATGGTGTTCCCGAGGGTTTCGAGCGATCGCGGCAGTCGTCACGTGAACCTAGCMAAGTTCACAAACCAGAGAATGCGCAACACGCCACGTTTGCTCACCGTAAATAGACATCACGTCGTGACACACACACACACAAAAAAAAAAAAAAAACCTCCTTGCTATCGAAAAATCAAGTGTAGTATCTGTTCTGATCAGTTTAATATCTGATCTGTGGTCCATCGGGCCACAACGATATTAAATCAATTTCTTTCGGGCCACGGAGGGGTCAAAAGGGTAAGCTTGCTTGCTCGACCTTTCGAACGTTGCCTCTGTGTTGCACTGCGGCGGAGTGCGGCGCAGCCCTCAAAAAAAAATTAAAAAAATAAAAAATCAAAGACTGGATGTCGACGGCTCATGCAAACCTAGTCGCGTCGTTGCTGACAAAATGATAATCAAATTCAGAGAGTGAGGAGACGGGACAGGTGGCGACGGGAGAAGCGCCGGCCTTGTACCGTTAAAATAGGCGGCATCACTATGGCGGGCCGTCTCTGACTGTGCCTTGCAACGTATCCGTGAATATGCGTCGGGGGACAGTGTGACAAGTAAGGATCTTCTCAGAGCGAGCGAGCAAACGCGCGCGCGCGCGCGCGCGCGCGCGCGCGCGCGAGAGAGAGAGAGAGAGAGAGAGAGAACGAGGGTGCAGAAGCGGGCGGGCTGTAAGGAACTCTCAATGGGGCAGCTTACGTAACGGAACTTCGACGTGTCATCTCCTGTGCAACATAGGAGTCTAGTAGAGAAGCGTCAGCCAGTGCACGACTAGAGCAGWGGGTGAGAGTACGTTTTTGCGATGGAGTTGCCTTCTCCCGCCAACGTGACAACTGACGGTGACAAACCGCCACGCGCGCACAGAAACACACAGAGA